CGAAGCTGCCCGCCGTGATCGCAATTTGATCTGGATGAAGACAATCATCAATAACGAAATACAATCTCCATGTTATGAGTATTGCCATTTTTTTATTAAAGTCATTCATAAGGAAATAAAGAACTATCGTAATTTTTTATGAAATTTGTGATGTAGAACTAGGGTGTCAATCAAATCAAAGATTTAAGTTGTATCTTTTTTTAAATAGTGCCTTTTACCTTTTTTAAATAGTGGGGAAATGCCTATGCATTAGTGCCTATACTCTACTTGAAATAAAAAGTAACCTAGTCTATATAAGTCTTACCGCAGAAAACAAGCATCTTCATATTTCTGTTTTTTTTTTTTTTGGAACAGTAAAGAATTCATCGCACTGCGCTACTGCGTGTTGGTAAAGGCATAATTTATTTTATTTACTTTTTTTTAAATTTAATCTTATCCACAGTCTTTTTCTTCACCACTGGAGAATAAAATTTCAAAAGTGCTCATAATAATTTTGTTGGTTGTGGCGAGGCGAACCTTAACCTAAGTTTCCGTATTATGCGAGAACTTATTTAGTAGCCATGGCACTACTTGCGTTATTAATCTATAAATTTAATAACGTACTTATAATCCCTATCAGACATGCAGGTTTCCTCATAATGATTTCTTTCACTGCCGAGCACGTCGTAAATTAGCTCTAAAAATTGCAATTTACAACTTCACTGGTCCCGGTGGGGATCGAACCGAGTTTCTCGCTTACCTGGTGTGAAGAAATTTACAGCGAATGCTTAGCTCCAGAGCTATCATAGCTCAAAAAATATATTTCAAAACATGTGAGGTCTGCCAACCCGCATGGGCAGCGTGGCAGACACTTCCTTGCCCTAAAACCTTCTCAGAAATGAGAGGTCTGTGCCCACGAGTGGGACATGTATAGAGATATTTTTTTTACTTTTTACGTATAATCCCTATGCTCTCGATTATTGATAACCTGGCATTATCCTCCTGATTTAAAGTTCTTTTAAATGTATCGATCGCATCAAAACTTTTGTCTTTTATTTTTAAGAACTGGTCATTTCTATTTATCTTCATCTCTATTTAAATACAAAATAATGTGATTGTTTGTTTAATTACTAGATAATCTACTTTTACTGCATACCGTTGTAGCATTTTTCGTAAATCATCCTATTGCCGAATCTAAAAAAACTAACTTAACTGAATTGAACTCCTATTTTGAATACTGCATTATGCATTAGAAAAGTATCATTCATACATTTCTGACTTTCATTTTAAAACAATAAAACTTTTTCATTTGTATTATTTTCCAAACGTTACGTTACGTTAATTTTCACGATGTTCTACGAGAGTTTTCGCTGTCACCGAGCGATTCTGTGATTTACGTCGTTTAAGTGTCACTGTTCACTTTTAATAAATATCCTCCAAATATTTATAATGACTCGGCTCAAATTACTTTTTTTATAAAAGAAAGTGGTCAACCTAGTAATTGCCACCGGCTATGATGTTGATGAGTTATGAGTTAAATTTTGGAGGGGTTTAGGTAATAAAGACTTTCCTCGCATTACTTTATGACCCAAAAATGTTAAAAGAATTATATATTTTTCGTCTTACTCTTCATAGTCGACTCTTAAATGTCTACTACAAGACATGGGCCTCATTCACTGTATTAATTAATACATTTTTTTTAATAATTTGCCATAATTTTCACGTTTGACAGCTACATTGACGATCGCAATACAAAATCTGGATATTTTATGTATCACTTTGACGTAACAGATACGGTCATACCGCTATACTCGTATATCATAAGCCATTAGATGTTTCTGGCGTTTCCCATTGCCACTTCTCACTACATCCACGGGACATACTGGGATGATGGATTCATTAACGCTGATACACGGAAAATGAATTATCGTTCCCGCCTTAACATTGAAGTTTGCAATGCACGGAATTCTAGTTTTCCTTAGTTTTCTATTCCTTTGTTCCTTCTTCATAATTTCTTATTATAATATAATAATAATAAATCCTTTATTTCGGCCAACAATAGTCATAGATTGTTAGTAAAACTTACTTAGCCTAATGTTAGTATAAAATAAAATAGAAGTTAATATTAAAATGTTAGTCAAAAAATTACTTATCCTATATTAGTAGCTTAACCTACCCCCAGCCTCACATAGCGAACTCCAGGTGGGATTCTCCTCGTGCTGGTGTGTGCACCATTCCAAGCCCTCCAGAGCGGGTAATCCAGCTTCACAGCCAATGCGCTGAGATTATTGCATATAAATCTACGTTACTTAGTATTTATTTTAAATATGATATTGAACGGATACGGCACCCTCTGTGTTTAAGGTTTTATGATGAAATTTGTCATTATAAGTTTTTTTTATTGAATAAGGGTGACAAACGAGCACACAGTCCACCTGATGATAACTGAATGCTGTGGCCCATAGACATTTATTCTCAATTAAGAATCGAAATGCAGATGCGTTGTCACCCCTGAGGACTAAGATAGGGTGCATCGTTTTCAGTAAAAAGAGTCTCCAGTTCTATACACTCCTACCATACGAAATGATGCTGCTGATTAAGCTGCTATTTTTGGCTGGTATTATGTGAGAGCGTGGTCCCACCCCGGTCGAGCCGACCCATTCGTTTTACTACCACATTAGTAAATTAAGTATAAATATATCTATGCTGTCACTGTTTAAGTTATTTTTACAGTAGTATAGTTTATAAAATATAATCAATTAGGCTCAAAGTAATAAAAAATCAAAACGAATAACTAATAACAAAGACTGAAAAAACGACAGTAAATTAGGTTAGGCAGGGTGTGGACCGCGAACTCGAAAGGGGGAGCTTTCCATGTAATTTTTCACATCTATTATCGGTTTTTCGAGCTACATTACTGACCACTTTAGCTTCACTGGACTATGTCGTTTACTCGTTTACTTGGGTTTTACCAATCACACAGGTTCTTGCAATCCGTATTAAAATTTATCAAATTTTACCTATTATTTATGTTTCTTCATTGCACCCTTATCATACTGTCTAAGACTTTATGAATGTGAAGCTCTTAACTAAATCAAATCAAGAAGTATCAGTGGTGTTTGAGAAATATTTCATTGATATTCCTATCTTGGCAACAGAGTAATTGAATACTTCCCCAACTGTCGCCGAGTTATTACTCAAACAGAAAAGAATTTAAATTTGGGGTTTTACGTTATTAATTAAGATTTGAAAAATTATTGCCACAAGATATTGTAAAATATTTTAAAACCCTTGATGTAAAAAAACGGCAGATTTATGGAGGATTTCCATTACAGTTATTGTGTCCACAATAGATTTAATTCATATTGCATTGCACCTCATATTGCTATAATCTTTAATACTAGTATAGAATCTGGTGTGTTTCCAGATTAAGTGAAACATAGTAATTAATACCTTTATTTAAAACTGGTAGTAATTTTTTAAAATTTTGAAATAATAATTTTGGATCAATTGTTACTCCATAAAAATCAATTTGATTTTACAAGGGGCCGCTCAATGACAGACGCTGGTATTGAGTTTATGAAATATATTTTTAATGCATGGTAGAATTCAAAAGATGCCTTGGGTATGTTTTGTTATCTATCCAAGGCTTTCGTTTGTGTTCATCATGATTCATTAATCAGAAAACTACAACATTACTGTGTCGTAAATATTGCGCTTAGACTTATTATTTCATATTTCAGTAACAGAACTCATAAAGTAATTATCAAATAGTAAAGGTTCCTCCTGATCGGTAGAATCAATGAGTGTACTTTAGAGCTCGATTCTTAGTCCATTCCTATTTTTATTCTATATTAGTGACTTACCTGATCTTGTAGGGGACAATCACGATGTAGTATTATTTGCTGATGATACCTCTTTAATTTTCAAACTCAAACGGCAGTCAATAAATTATGATGATCTAAATAATGCTGTATCGAAATTAATACATTGATTTAATGCCAACAATTTGCTCTTACCTCATGTTAAACAATCGAATACCAATGGGAGAGGCCCATGTCCAGCACTCAACTGATGAACAAAAAAAAAGATTAATGGAAGAAAGGATGGTTCGAACGAGTTCGCCCAGGTAACCTAGATATAGACAAAGTCTACTAATCCTATACAACTCGTCTTTGTTCTCGCAAGAAAGGTATGCGTAGGCGTTTCCCCTAAAAAAGGTCTGTCACAGTGTTAGGTCTATCGACACAGAGTTTTAGTGGTTTTAGTCAGTTCGAGTACTACACAATTCGTCCTTGCTCTTTTAAGGTCTACGCATACCCTATGCGTAGACATTTACCAAAATTATGTGTCTCAGGTCTATTTCTACTGTAATTTAATGTATAAAAAGTTAAAATTAAAGTTACTGCCTACACACGTCCCACTGCTGTGCTCAGACCTCCTCTCATTTTGTAAGAGGGATTTAGAGTAAGTAAAAAATCCGCCGCGCAGCCCCTATGTGGTTTGGCGAACTCCACATTGCTCCAAAATATTTTTTTTATTTCTCAGACTTTGTTTTCCTTCACCACCTAACTACGTATCACATGATAAATAGTAGCACGTAAACTGTCATGAGAGAAATAAGATGATTTATTGATTATTGCTATTGACTGGCCAACAAATAATTGTTCCAAAATACTCTCCTGGAAGTATGAAAATTAAGAAATAAAGACCACTCGATACCTCAGAGATAAGGTCCAAAAAGGTGTTACTAATGGTCATCTATCCTCCAGTATTACAGAGCGCATTTGTTAATCCGAACACGACTTATACACGCAGAACTTGATATCTACAAAATATCAATTTTAATCAGTTTATTACTTTAGGTTATATCATTAGTCATTATCTATAGCGAAAATATGATATCAGTTATGTATATATTGCAATGAATCCGTATTTTAAACGACATTGTTCCAAATAAGCATATGGCCTTTGGGGGTCATTTGCTATAAGTAAAATCCACAATCAATAATTATATAAATATGCAATTCTTCTTGGTTATTGGAGCAGTTTTAGCTGCAGCGTTAGCGTTTCCGGCTGAACTAGCTAACTTGCCTGAACCTAGTGAGCTTGCTCTGGTGCTGAATGAAGGCGATTTTGAGGACTACTTAGACACTTGGTTTGATATACAACAACGCAAACACGCCAACGAGTCCCAGATTGATTCACGCAGTGGTAAAAACACATTATTCCTAAATTCCATATTATTAATACTTTCATAAAATTACGCATGGTACTTATTGCAAAGAATGTATTGTTACGATTACTTACAAAGAATTTAAACGCAAAAAAGTGTCAGAAGACAGAGAAAGCGCTAGCCATTAATTTAATTTTTCTCAGACTAGTGACTCGTATGCCTAACATGGTCATCATTATCATCATCGTCATTATGATTTACCACAAATACTGCTGAACAAAACAATAATTCATGTGCTACTCGAGAACTTTTAATTACTATATATATGCTTCCTCGAGCTATTTGGCTCTATCATTGTCACTTACTTCAGTTTACAGTTTTTATAGTTTATTTTAAATGCATGTTCAGATAGGAACTTAAAAAAGAATAGGGGTGCAATTCGGTGTTAGTATATATTTTAATTAAATTATAATCCGAAAAAATAATATCATAATCATTTTTTAATTAACAAAGCATTTTAAAAATAACATGTTTCCTCTTCATAATATAGGATGCACATTTAGAATTAACGGGGATCTCGGCCAACCTCAACCAGTATACATTCACAGAAATAATTATCTTACACCAAATGGAAATTCTGGTCAGATTCGACTAAACTCTGGAGAACAAGTCACTATAGCTTGTACAGGTTCTGGACGTACAATTCGACATCCCAATATCGCTCAAACTGTAAACATTGCCGTAAGTATTCAAACTCCTTTTTACTTTAAATTCATTATAAATTATTATTTTTTCTATTCCGATATAATGTCAACTATTTTCAGCATTGCTCGCGCTCACTGTTTCAATTTTTTCCAAAAATCTTACAAAAAACTAATTAACAACAAAAAATATATGCCATATCTATGCTAAACAACCATTTAATTTGCAAGTATTTTTTAGATTTAATTTTAGAAAATACTTGAAAATTGAACAAAGTAAAAGACGAGATTTTTAAGGAAATCGATTTTAAAAACAACAGCATTTTAATACTTACTACCTATATAATTGATCAGGACTTAAACCGATAAAAAATCAAGCACTTATATAAAAAAAATATCCTATAGAAATAAAAAATTAAATCAAATCTTATAAATATAATGGGAAACAGTTATATTCATATTTGTGATTTGCCATACAAATATAGTATATTTTACGAAAACTAAAATACACTAAAACACAAGACGTTCTTTTATTTTCTGGTACCAATATGTACCTACCTATGGTTTACCAGGAGTTTCAACTCAAGATAAGACTGCATTAAATATTAGCAAAATATTCTTTTATCAAATCAATGCCCATCAAAATATTTGACCTTGAGACTAAGTAAAAGTAATTATTATGATACATTATCAGAATATCACCTTGGAAAAAACTTCACGTATAGGAATTTGCGTATAAAATTATCCACGAAAGATTTGGGAAAAATAAAGATTACGTGAGCATATAAATAAATAGTAAGATTTAAAAAAAAAACACAATATTTGGTAGTATAAGGTCTTTAGAGGTTGCCTGGAGAGATTTATTGAAAAGGCACTAAAACAACAGTGCGTGACTATTATTCATACATTGGGTTTCAGGATAGAAATATGACAAAACATGTGTTGGAAATACTAAGCGATAGTAATAGCGATATTCAGTGCTTTTATAAGTGTCCAACGTCTCCTTGGCAGTATAGGGTTTGCCGAAGCTAACTGATCGGCGGGTTCAACAATACATAGTGTTCGTTGGTCAGCGAACGCACATCATACAGAAATAATTACACTTATTTCATACTGAAAACTAATTTTTATCACAAATATCTCCTACGTCACACGGAAATAGTGTAGCTTTCTCGATCAGACAAAAAAAATACGGACAAGCACACTTACATCATCATCATCATTATACAATCCCACTGCTGAACATAGGCCTCTAGGGCCACCTACATCCATCGACTTCCTGCATGTATTACCAGGTCGTCACTCCATCCAGTGGGGTGACGCCCAACACTTCGCCTACCGTTACGAGGCTGCCACCCGAAAACCTTTCTTGCCCATCGGTTAGTCGGTTCTTCGAGCTATATGGCCGGCCCATTGCCACTTCAGCTTACTAATCCGTTGGGCGGTGTCGGTTACTCTGGTTCTACCGCGTATACCTATCCTCGTTTTTAAGTCTATCACGCAGAGAAATCCCGAGCATAGCCCTCTCCATAGTTCGCTAAGCGACCTTGACCTATCTCATACGGCCAGCAGTGCAAGACCACGTCATAGAGCCAAAGGTTATCACTAAAACGTATATACCTTCTTGAAAACAACTTCACCTCTTAATAATATTAGTGTAGATTTTAGTATTAATAAGCTATTGCGAATATATTACAGACTTCCACCTGTGTAAACAACAACCTTGTTTCTGGTCCTGGTTGGCTCAACGGAAACGGTGCTTTTGGTCAATTTACTTGTTCTTCTCACTCCTTCCACGAGGCACAGGCAACGAATGAACGATGCTTCAACAACAATCTAGTTATTAGGTATTAGAGTATAGAAAACAATAACAAAATCAATCTACTAAATATAAAAAGTATATACAAAACATTTTTTTTAATAATTACAGAGTGGGTTACATCGTCAACAATGTATTTTACCCTCTGTACTGGTCTTGCTTTGATCAGCGACGTTTGGAAGTTTTATACGTGTGGTACGAGCAAAGGCCCACAAACGCTGTCCATCAAACTGGAGTGGATAGACCAAGCTGGCAGGGTTAGTTACATAAAACATACTGGCTATGCGATAAATCTTATTTTGGTGAAAATCGTTAGCCGGTGGGAGTCATTCTGCAATTGCGTTATATTTTTATTATGATAATATTTTGCTGTTTCTTAACCAAAAAACACATCAATATTAGATCCAATCAATGGTCATTTTATTCTCAAGTCAAAATAATAGAAAATTGCGGTTGACAACCCGCCTGCCAAGTATGCCAACTATGGAAAATAGCCCTGTTGTGCTGTGAACTGTTGATGGGATTTAATGATGATGATGACGAACCAAAAATACATATAAATAACAAATGAAGAATTGCGAGTAGGGTTGTTATATACATAAACATTTGTGCTATTCCTTAAAGCCTTAGACTAATCAACAGGGTAAAATGTAAACTATGCTAGCCAGTGCGTCGAGGAAATACGATTAAAGTCCCAATTTCAGAGGTTATTATATCAGTTATTGAGTTTCAAATAACAACGGTTTTAAAGAAGTTTTCACTTCAAAAAAATTGTTTGAAGTCTGTTTACTTTTTTATTAAAAGTAAATTTTTTTTTAATTTACCTTGTAGGTATGTTTTTGATGTACGTCGAAAAGGAAAAACTACCTTATCACTAGAAATAAAAAAAAATCTCCCCTACATTGTCCACATCACGGTCGATGCACCAACTGCAAAATTAAGAATGTAATCATATGAAAAAATGTGATATAACTCCAATCTCACGACTTCTTCAAAATTTTTACTTTTACTTACACCGTGTGTACTTTTACCTTGCTCTTTGCCAAACTTTATGAACTTTCATACCCGTTGACAAAATATAATACATAGGTTTTGAGTGAATAGAATAGAATATTATTTATTCATTAGAGATTATTGACGTAAACGTAATACTTATTGAAAGCCAATTTTTAACTTACCACTGCTTCGGAATTTAATGTCCAGGAAAAACCAGCAAGAAACCCAGCGATATTATTTATTTTAACATAAAATTTACAATAATGGTACTTACACAATTATTTATAAGAATTATAAAAGAACCAGAATGGCAGCGATCCACTTATTCTCATGGGTTATATATTGCATTATAATATTATAATCCCTTTTATTTTTATATAGTTTTTGTTTAATGATTGCCGCCGGCACCAATGAAATTGTTAATTGCAATTTTAAGTGCTGATTTACCACGTTTATATATATATATATATATATATCTATCGAAGACATGTGAAGTTCGCCAACACGCATTGGGACTGCGCGGCGGATATTTCCATGCCCTAAAACCCTCTCAGAAATGACAGGAGGCCAGCAGTGGGACGTATTTAGGATGTAACATTAACTTTTTAACTTTTTGTTTCATGAAATTTTAAACTTCTCCATTGACAAATATTAAACTTTTTTTAAGATTTTGTGGGAAAAGCGTATACATTGCATCGTAAATGAATTATGTATAAGTACTATTTGTGTGAAGTGTAAGTGGCATTACAATTTTGTACATGTTCCTATCCTATTCCTATTTAAAGTATTATATTTATTAGTATATATTTGTTTTTAGCAAAGCTATTCATGTTTATATGTACATTGTACATACATTACATTTTCATAAATATTGTGTAAGGCTAAAGTAAGTAAATATATTTTTTCTATAAGGGACTACAAGTTAAATTATAAATTGCGCTTACGGCAATGTTTTGCAAAACCAAATATACTTTCGATGTCAGTGAGTTTGCGACATCAAAATATGTGATATATATGGCCATAGCTGGCCATATCTTTTAAACGCGTTTACTTAGGAGTATTAACTTTTACACCTTGAAAGGACCGTGGACCTTAACATTTAATAATAATTACAACATGATGCCTCTACACGTTCTTAAGAAAAAGGGTCTCGGAAGACTGACAGTCGGTCGAACAATGTAATGATTCTGAGGTTTTATAATTTATACGCTAAAGCAGACATCGGCTTATAAATTATATCTACACATTTACACAATAAAACGAAACCAACCACCAATCCAATCGAAACAAACCACGATTCCCATACATGATATAACCAGAAATGCACTAGAATCGCAATGTAGAATTACCAATAAAGAGCACTAACGCACTACTCCCGACAGCTGGCCGCAATGCGGTAAACCACGGAGTGCATGCATATATGTTCTCAAAGTGTTTTGTATAAAATATAATTTTTTTTTGTTTCAGCCGGCAGCTTTTATCCGGGCGTGGATATTAACAACCGATATACGCAAGTCCAGCAAAAATTATCCATTGCACGCTATGTCGGCAATGCACTTGCCGACAAATATGTGACGGGAACTCAGTACTTGGCTCGGGGCCACCTTGCCGCTAAGAGCGATTATGTTTTCGCCACTGGACAACGCGCTACATTCTACTTTATTAACGCTGCTCCACAATGGCAACCATTCAATGCTGGTAACTGGAACTCACTTGAGCAGGTTAATATTTAGATTTACTTAATTGTTGTTCCACAATAACTTATTCTTTATATCAAGAGATACACATATATGATTCCTGTAGAGTATTTAATAATATTATTATCTTGATCAATTTTAACAATATATAGTGCACCGTGTTGCTTGTTGAGTGCGTCCTTTGCTTATCGAGTGCTATGCACCTCTAGCATATCTAGCAGCCACCAGCTTATATTTAGTTTTTACTGAGTTTCTGCTCTACTCTATCGAGATATTGTTATTATGTATTTTTGCTTTCAGTAGATTTTTGCTCTTTCGACTTTAATTTCTTTTTAGGAAGAATGGACTCCACATCATCGTTTGGTTTACTTCTATCAAGAGTATTACCTAAATGTACTTTCTCTTTGATAGAATCAGAAGATTCGAACGGTACCAGTTTATATGGTTTAATTTCTTCAGTTTTATTTACTACATTCGGAATTTTTTCATCTATTGGTTCAATAATTTTCATGTTTCCTTCAAAAGTTGAGGTAGTTGGTATTTGGGGTAGTCATTCCGCGCGTTTTTATGAATCTCAATTTGATTTACTACCATACATAGTCAATAGTTACCACCAATGTTTCTTGTTGTTCTGATCTTTACAGAACCTTCGAACCCGCATCGGACAAGCTGGATACAATACAGTCATCTACACCGGTACTTTTGGAGTGACGCAATTGCGAAATGCTAACAATCGCTTAGTTGATATCTACCTTCACCGCGATAACAACAATAACGAACAGCTGCCTGTTCCTCAATACTTCTACAAAGTAAGAGCTAAATGAAAAATTTACTTAAATAAGATCTTTTTGCCGCCGTGTAGTGGAATCGTAAAAGAATCCACTACCCGATATCATCCCTTAGATTTCGTAAGAGGCTACAAAGGTAAATGAATCAGGAGATAAACAGCTTTAATCTTCCTGACAACTAAAAATAAGAAACAAACCTGAAGTAACCAACACGCCTGCGAAATATATCCCCCCTATGAGGCAATCTATAGGGGAGGCCTATATTCAGCAGTGGACATTTAATATGGTGTAATGATGATAATGCTTATTATGACCTTTTTTATAATCTAGTGATAAACGAGTGCTAACTATCTACCAGATGATAACTGGCTTCTGCTGCCAATGGATACCAGCTATTAGGTTTAGACAAAACAACAAGATTAAAATCGAGTACCTTTCTGCTTATAATTTACTGGTCATCTTCTATTCAAACCCGAGCACAGCAGTGGGTGCAATGCCAAAATATTTAAGAGGTCAGTATCTAGTCAGATTTTTTTTAATACCAAACCTTTTTAATACCAAATTTTTATAGGACCATATTTTATTCATAATAATATCTATCATTTTTTCTTTATTGAGGAATGATTCATTTGTAAGAAAATTATTTTATTTATTTTATTTTTTATTATTTTTTACTTGACAACATTTACACGTTGTAATTAAAATTGACATTCAATCAATCTAATAAATTAATTGTTTAACAGGTAGCGTATGATTCCTCAAGACGCATTGGTACAGCATTTATAAGCATCAACAATCCTCACTATACTCTAGCCGAGGCTCGAGCTTTGCAGTTCTGTACTGACCGATGCCGCAACAATGCCGCATTCAACTGGCTCCGTTGGCAACCTGACCGTGTGAATATCGGATACAGCTTCTGCTGCACTGTTGCTGACTTCAGAAGAGTCATACCACATCTGCCTTCCTTTACAGTCAACGGTCTATTATCGTAACTACAACTTAATAACGAAGAAACGTTTTTAACCAGTAATCAAAATGTATAAATGTAAATTACGTATTGATGTACATAACTAGTTAAGTAAATTAATTAACCTTAATCCATTTGCGTAAACTTTTTTATCTGAGCAATCCACATAACAGACCTCAAATTATATCTGTCAATCTAACTTATAACTTAGGATTTCTCATATTTACGAGAACACTACACATTAATTTAAACTAATTTTACGGATTTTATCGCGTTTAATATTAACTTTTTACCTGTATTAACTTGTCAAAATTCTCCATTAATTCCATAAAAATACCCAGAACAATCGGCCATTTTAGCTTAGGGGCTAAAGCTGTGGTTTCCTAGGATGGGGTATTACACCCATTTTAATAATGATAATGAACCACTATAATTTTTATATATTTTTTTAAACCGAATATAGCTGAAATAGTGAGATTTTACGGTTCCTACGGCGTCACGATTTGAATTCTTATTGAAGGTCATTTTTACTTTACCACTGGTTCGGAAAAAAAATTTTGTCCTGGGAGGAACCAGCAAGAAACCCAGTGGGACTTTTTTAAAGTAAATTTTTACATGAAAGGTTGTACAAACTATTTTCAATATTTATTTTAGAAACAACTTGGAAGCGAGCATCTCATTCCCAGGTGTTATTATCAACCATGTATTCATTCATATTATAATAACCCTTTTTATACAGTTTTTGTTTAATAAAATATTTAAACTTGGTAATAGAGAGACCTTGTATATCTTCTGACACTTTATTGTAATAGCGTATATACGTTGCCCCAAGAATGAATTACTGACTCTGTGGAGCCGAGAAACTGGTATCACTAAAATGTGTTTGTTCCTAGTATTTACAGAGTGTATATCACTTTTCTTACTAAAACTACCTTTGTTTTTGTGAACATACATTAAATTTTCGTAAATATACTGAGAGGCCAAAGTTAATATCATCACTGACACACAAATGATTTACGTAATCACGAGTGAGCGGCAAAGAGTACTAATACGAGGACAACACTGAAAGTTTTTAGAACTGGCCACTTGTAAACTATATAATAAAAAAATAAGTTAAAATTTTGAAAATTGAAGTCTTCGCCAATATTATTGTGTATGTATTTTATTAATTTGTCATTTGTTTATGATTTGGTGGCAAGTTGAAAATTGTCTGTATCACGTCCGCATGAATTTCGTACAATGATTTTTTATGACTTTCGATATCATTTAAGTCAACAAGAAAGTTATTATAAACTTCGATTGCCCTTTCACGATGAAGCCCCATCTCGTGCCACTGTTTACAACTGGTTTAATGAGTTTAAACGTGGTCGCACTAATCCCACCGATGATCTGCGTGTGGGAGGGCCTTCTACGGCGACGACTGAAGATAACATCAGGCGTATGATTGAGACTGACAAAAGAGTGACTTATCAGCAGATTCGGACAAGCTTAGGCATCGGCATGAGTCATATGCACAAAATCCTCTATGAACATTTAGCGGTCAGGAAGCTTTGTGCCCGGTTGATACCTCGTAATTTGACAGAGACCTAAAAACTCCGTCTTGTTGATTGTTGTCGTGAAATGGTTCAAAGATTTAACGGGGGTGACTAAAATGCTGTGTTCGATCTACTTATGGATGACGAAAGCTGGATTTATTGTTATGATCCTGAAACTGAGAAACAGTCTGCTGGTGTTTCCTTTTTTTTATATAAGATGGGGCAAACGAGAACCTGAATGAAGAAACCTTATGGTAAGTGACTACCGCCGCCCATGAACAACCGTAACACCAGGGGAATTGCAAATGCATTGCCGGCCTTTTAGAAAGGTTTAAACTCTTTTCTTGAAGGTCCTTAAGTCATATCGGCCCGGAAAAATCGCCGGTGGTAAACAATTCCATAAAATAATAGGAGAATTTATGGTTTAGGCTACTTGACGACAAAGTTTTTAACAGTGGTAAAGCTAAGCGGTAGCTTTTGCTGTCGCACGGATGGGCCAGCTCGAACCGGGGTGGTACCACGACCTCACAGAATACCAGCGTGAAGTAGAGGTTTACCTCTGCATTGCGCTTGGTGAGTGCAGGTGGCCGGAGGCCCAATCCCCCCCCCCCCATCAACATGGTAGTGGAATTAAATAAAATACTACCCCAGGAGGGTACCAGCACCCCTGGAGAATCCCTCGCTGAGCATCCACGACCAAACTACTTCACTCCTGAGCGTGGGTGCTCAGGCTGCCCCGCGTATTCTGGGGGGGGGCAAAATTCCGCTCGCGACTAATGCTGCTCGGGGCAAGCAGAGCAATACAACCAAGGCGACCCCTGTCACGCTATCCGTGAATTTTTGCAACATCAGGGGACTTCATTCCAACCTTAACGCTGTCCATTACCATTTAGAGACGGCGAAGCCGGCCTTGCTCTTTTTAACCGAGACTCAGGTGTCCTCTCCGGCTGATACTTCATATCTCTCCTACCCGGGGTACAAATTGGAACACTCCTTTGTGACCCGGGCTGGAGTTTGCGTATACGTCAGAGAGGACATCTGTTTTCGACGCCTCGGCAGTCTTAAAAGTATGGACCTGTCCATCCTATGGCTGCGCGTAGACAGCGACGACCATCCCCGCGTCTACGGGTGCCTCTATAGGTCCCATAGCGGTAATGCCGACACAGACCGACTCATTGACCACGTCCAAATGGCTGCAGACTCCGTGCTACAACAGATCCCATCTGCAAAGATCGTGATACTCGGTGATTTTAACGCCCACCACGCTGAATGGCTTGGTTCTCGTTTAACCGATCATGCGGGTAGATCTGTCTATGACTTTGCTTTGGCATATGGTCTAACACAACTGGTTACTTCGCCTACGCGGATCCCAGATGTGGAAGACCATGTACCTTCCCTGTTGGACCTTCTGCTGACCTCTCATCCGGACGGATATCAGGTCTCCGTCGATGCCCCTCTGGGCTCTTCGGACCATTGTCTGATCCGGAGTACGGTGCCACTCACGCTCCAATCGCAGTTGCGATCTGCAGCTTGCCGCAGTGTTTGGCACTATAGGTCAGCTGATTGGGACGGGATGCGGTCTTTTTTTGCATCGTACCCTTGGGGGCGGGTTTGCTTCTCGCCGGAAGATCCCAGCGTTGTTGCCGATTCTGTTGCTGATGTGGTACTTCAGGGTATGGAACTTTTTATTCCAACCTCTGTGGTGCCCATCAGAGGCAGATCCCAGCCATGGTTTGGTCGCTCCTGTAAAATAGCATCACGCTATAGGCAGGAGTGCTACCGGGCCTGGGCTGACGCATCAACGTCTCGGGATGTAAACACCAGCGCACTTAAAAAGAAGTATAATTCCGCCTCCAGGTCCTTCAAAAGCGTCAATGCCAAGGCAAGGTCTGAGCACATCGGCAGAATTGGCGAGAAACTAGTTCGCCTTCCTTCGGGAACCCGTGCATTCTGGTCTCTCGCCAAGGCTGTCCAAGGGAACTTCTGTCAGCCATCTCTTCCATCTCTGCACAGGGAGGACGACTCACTGCCCCATGCCGCAAAGGAGAAAGCCAATCTGTTGAGCTCTCTTTTTGCGTCCAACTCGACTCTAGATGACGGGGGGAACACACCGCCGACCATCCCGCGATGTGAGTGCTCCATGCCGGATGTGCGGTTTACACAGCGCTCGGTTCGCAAAGCACTCTTCTCCCTGGACGTCAGCAAGTCGAGTGGGCCCGATGGAGTCCCTCCCATTGTGCTGAAGACATGTGCTCCGGAGTTGGCACCGGTTTTAACGCGTCTTTTCCGATACTCCTACTCCCAAGGCGTAGTCTTGAATTCATGGAAGACAGCTTTGGTCCACCCGATCCTTAAAAAGGCGACCACTCAGACCCGTCCAACTACAGGCCTATTGCCATCACCTCCTTGTTCTCCAAAATAATGGAATCCATTATAAACTGCCAGCTCATGAGGTACCTTGAGGATCACCAGCTGATTAGGGACCGCCAGTACCGTTTTCGTCGGGGTCGATCAGCTGGTGATCTTCTAGTCTATCTGACTCATAGATGGGCGGAGGCAGTATAGTCCAAGGGGGAGGCATTGGCCGTTAGTTTGGACATAGCGAAGGCCTTCGATCGGGTCTGGCACAAAGCGCTTCTTTCGAAGCTTCCTTCCTATGGGCTTCCCGATAAGTTGTGCAAATGGATCACCAGTTTCCTTGCTGATCGGAGCATCAAGGTCGTAGTAGACGGTGCATGCTCTGATTTCAAGCCTATCAACGCTGGTGTTTCACAAGGCTGCGTGCTATCACCAACGCTGTTTCTCCTGCATATCAATGATATGTTGCTAACTAGTAGCATTCATTGCTATGCAGACGATAGCACTGGTGATGCCTTATATACCGGCCGTGCCAATATTTCTCGGGAAAACGTCGCTGATTACCGGGACAAACTTGTGTCTGAAGTCGAGTCTTTGCTTAACAAAGTCTCGGATTGGGGCCGACTAAATCTAGTCCAGTTCAATCCCCAGAAGACACAAGTTTGCGCGTTTACCGCTAAAAAGAACCCCTTTGTCGTATCTCCTCAGTTTCAAGGCACTCCCCTTGCTGCCTCAGCTAGTATCGGGATCCTTGGCGTCGACATATCGAATAGTGTGCAGTTTCGTGGTCACTTGGAAGGGAAGGCCAAATTGGCCTCTAAAAAGCTTGGCGTGCTCAGCAGAGCGAGACAGTATTTCATGCCGGCACATCGCTTGCAACTTTACAAAGCGCAAGTTCGGCCCCACATGGAATACTGTTCACATCTCTGGGCCGGGGCACCCCAGTGCCAGCTCCTTCCACTTGACCACATCCAGCGCAGAGCGGTTCGAATCGTCGACGACCGAGTTCTTTCTGATCGACTCGATACACTGGCACTGCGCAGAGATGTTGCATCTCTTTGCGTATTTCATCGCATCTATCACGGGGAGTGCTCTGAGGAATTGTTCGGACTAATTCCAGCCGCTCAATTTC